TAAATGAAAAACTATTTTATCCTCGCAAAACTTTCTGGAAAACCTAATATTATCGTTTGGTTTGTCTGTAATATAATATAATTTTCTATTCATTATTGCAGTAAATGAAAACTGGTTATTCTTCTGTGACCTAATTTTATTCATTTCTGTAAACCTCTTATCAGTATTTCCTACTTTTGGTGATATTTGTAACAAATATTCGTTGTTTTCATTTATATATTCACCGCAAAAATTAATAAATCCATCGTTTGATAAGAAAAAAGTGATGCCACCACCGGAACAGATAGTCTTAATACCAGTCATGTCTGCAATGAGTTTTGGTTTCCATATATTATCCGATGAATTGTGTCCCAAATTATAGAAACTATTTTTACCCCAACTAAACACTTGTCCCTCAGATGTGATGGCAAATGAAGAGTAAAGACAACAATAAATGCTTTTAATTTCGAGATTAAAATGGAAATTCACTCGAAATATGTCCCCGTTTCGGTAAACCCTGTCTGGTCTATAACCTAACTCTCCGAACCAATTAAAACCCCATCCACAGACACAGTCATCACTCGTGAGAATCATTGTGTGATAAAACCCACAACTTATTTGAATAATTGACTTATTATCGAAGTATTTATGATCAATAAGTTTTGGTTCCAAATATAAATTATCCGTAATCTTGGGTGCCAAACCTAACTGTCCCTTCTCATTATTACCCCAACTATAGAGATATTTATTATGAGTGAGGGCTAACACAAAGTCCACTCCATTGAAGAATTGTGTGATATTCTTGTGACACAATCTGTCGATCACTTGGATTTCATTGACGTATAGATTGTGTCCCAAACCAAGTGATCCCCACAAATTAGATCCCAAACCGTAAACCATGTCATCATTTGTTACAAACAATACATTATATCCTCTGTCGTCATCGAAAACATGAAACAATTGAATCGATTTAATAATATTTTCTTCACTTTTATGTCTATTTTCGTCGACAAGTGTTTCATTGTGTGAATCATTGGACTCGTGTTCCGTAGGCCTCACATCACTTGTATGTATGGATCGGCTATTACTGGACTCCACTCCCGATTGTTGTGGGCTTTTGTTTGGAGTAATATTTAAACTCATATTTTACACACAATTAACAAATGATTGTTATTAATAATATAGAGTATAATAATTAGTGAATTAATTATTTTAGAAATTTATTTATAAATACATAAACACACATTACAAACAAAGAAACTATTAATTACATATACTATTACTAAGAAATAGTTATTGTACTGATAATGATTGTCATGGTATTTTTATCGGGAGTACATCAAAATCCCGAACATCAAAACCCCGAAAATCAAAATCCCGAAATACATAATCCCGAAATCATAATCCCGAAATCACAATCCCGAAAATAATAATAAATATATCAATAATTATTTTTACTTTAGTAAATGTAAAATTCATTGATATTATTAGAGTAATTATATTCAAACCCAACCTAACCTAACCTAACCTTAATGAGATTATCGCTTTGAATCATACAGTGGTTATAAACTAATAAAATCCAGCCAATAATTACAACATTTAATAATTGATGAGATATTTATTTACTAGTATGACACTAATTAGCTTTAAAATAATTAATATAATAGTATCAATAAATTTTATATTATTAATTAAATTTAAAATAATTATTGATATATTTATTATTATTTTCGGGATTTTGATTTTCGGGATTGTGATTTCGGGATTATGATTTCGGGATTGTGATTTCGGGGTTTTGAATTTCGGGATTTCAATGTTCGGGATTTTGATTTTCGGGGTTTTGATGTTCGGGGTTTTGATGTTGGGGATTTTGATTTTCGGGATTTTGATATGATGCGATTTTTATCACATCTATAGAAAGTATTTTATAATACCATTGCGTTTGTATTTTCTATTCAAATATCTATTCCTTTATTTATCTCATAATATAAGACATAATTGTATTTCAGAGATATTACTCATAAATCCGTTCAATACTTATACAGAAATGTTCACAAGTTTTGTGTCACCGGAGAGTGCTATATATTATGCATTCATTAATGTCTTGAGAACACTTAGCGCCTCCTAAGCGGGGGAGGGGGAGGGGGTGGTGGTGGTGGCCATAGTAAGCTTATTATAATATTACTCTAATGAAAACGTACCGGATTATAGTAGGAAGTAGTTTTGTATTTATTTATATATTATATGAAAAATTATTTATATTTATTTAATAACTAAACATTGATTTTCAGTCACCTTATGGTTGGGAATTGAAAGGCAATTAATATTTTGAATAATAANCCTCACATCACTTGTATGTATGGATCGGCTATTACTGGACTCCACTCCCGATTGTTGTGGGCTTTTGTTTGGAGTAATATTTAAACTCATATTTTACACACAATTAACAAATGATTGTTATTAATAATATAGAGTATAATAATTAGTGAATTAATTATTTTAGAAATTTATTTATAAATACATAAACACACATTACAAACAAAGAAACTATTAATTACATATACTATTACTAAGAAATAGTTATTGTACTGATAATGATTGTCATGGTATTTTTATCGGGAGTACATCAAAATCCCGAACATCAAAACCCCGAAAATCAAAATCCCGAAATACATAATCCCGAAATCATAATCCCGAAATCACAATCCCGAAAATAATAATAAATATATCAATAATTATTTTTACTTTAGTAAATGTAAAATTCATTGATATTATTAGAGTAATTATATTCAAACCCAACCTAACCTAACCTAACCTTAATGAGATTATCGCTTTGAATCATACAGTGGTTATAAACTAATAAAATCCAGCCAATAATTACAACATTTAATAATTGATGAGATATTTATTTACTAGTATGACACTAATTAGCTTTAAAATAATTAATATAATAGTATCAATAAATTTTATATTATTAATTAAATTTAAAATAATTATTGATATATTTATTATTATTTTCGGGATTTTGATTTTCGGGATTGTGATTTCGGGATTATGATTTCGGGATTGTGATTTCGGGGTTTTGAATTTCGGGATTTCAATGTTCGGGATTTTGATTTTCGGGGTTTTGATGTTCGGGGTTTTGATGTTGGGGATTTTGATTTTCGGGATTTTGATATGATGCGATTTTTATCACATCTATAGAAAGTATTTTATAATACCATTGCGTTTGTATTTTCTATTCAAATATCTATTCCTTTATTTATCTCATAATATAAGACATAATTGTATTTCAGAGATATTACTCATAAATCCGTTCAATACTTATACAGAAATGTTCACAAGTTTTGTGTCACCGGAGAGTGCTATATATTATGCATTCATTAATGTCTTGAGAACACTTAGCGCCTCCTAAGCGGGGGAGGGGGAGGGGGTGGTGGTGGTGGCCATAGTAAGCTTATTATAATATTACTCTAATGAAAACGTACCGGATTATAGTAGGAAGTAGTTTTGTATTTATTTATATATTATATGAAAAATTATTTATATTTATTTAATAACTAAACATTAGTGGCCATAGTAAGCTTATTATAATATTACTCTAATGAAAACGTACCGGATTATAGTAGGAAGTAGTTTTCATAAATAAATATATAATATACTTTTTAATAAATATAAATAAATTATTGATTTGTAACTAAAAGTCAGTGGAATACCAACCCTTAACTTTCCGTTAATTATAAAACTTATTATTAAACATAATACTTGGACTCGGATCAAACTTTTTTTGCACAATTAATATCAGGATAAGGGCTGCACTAAAGCCCTGATCGACTACATGAAGCTATATCTCGGAAGTTTAGGTGAGACTCATATCGTAATAATATATGGCACACAAGTAATACAATGCCTACCTAACCTCTCTAATAGTGAACTTTTGATATGATCTATCTTTTAGTTTGATTTGCCCTAAATTTTCTCCTTTCATATCGTAAAATATTATTGATAATTACAAATCTGAGCTAGTTCAATTAATAATTAATTTATAAGCAATTTTACAGACAATGGTTACAGGAACAATCAAGAGAGCTAGATGAAAACGTATTATTATAACAATCTTCATTTGAGTCATAAACTATAAATCCCATTTAAAGCAATACTTTACATATGGAAAACCATTATAAAAGATTTGAAATGTAGTTTTTTTACTCAAATGAAGATTGTGCAAGAACCAAAGCACCTAGACAAATAATATATGATTCGATCGAAAGCTAATCGCAACCCCTTTAACTTTATGATTGAAGACATTTACCTAGGTACTATCGTCTACAATAAATTAAAGCTTAAAATAAGCTCCATTCAGTAAATTCAAGTGCAAGTTTTGGACGAACCAGACATCAGAATGAAATGATACCGGGTGCATATGAAAGATCATACTTTTGTCAAGAAAATCATAATAATACGTTTTCATCTAGCTCTCTTGATTGTTCCTGTAACCATTGTCTGTAAGATTGCTTATAAATTAATTATTAATTGAACTAGCTCAGATTTGATTAATAGTTATTATAAAATGCTATACTTTCCTCTTTTAAATCCCGTTTAGTTTGATTTTCTATCTANATTTGATTAATAGTTATTATAAAATGCTATACTTTCCTCTTTTAAATCCCGTTTAGTTTGATTTTCTATCTAGTATAGTTTTCAAGTGATAATCTCTCCAATCCATCCGTAACATAATGAACACACGGTATATATACTGTAATATATAAAATATATTTATTTGATAAAAGACCGAGATTTAAGTATAATTGTGGGTTTAATAACATACATTAGTATTTCTATTTACGATAAACATATTGTTTATTAATTACTCGTATTTATCCGAAATGGATTGCACTTGGTCATTATATATTAAATACTTATAATTATTTAATAACAAAAACAATATTTTTCATATTTGTATACATTTATCACGGATTCAAAGAATATTCATTTCATTCATTTATTGAATAATCAATAATTCACTCATGGATTGAACCCAAAGCCTGAGCGCCAGTATTGATGGACAGGTAGTCGTGATATTCCTGATGCGGGGACTTATTGAGTGGCGATTCGGGCCACGAGTCAGGGGCCAGGTATGAGTAGGTCTGTTAGGCGGCCAGGTATGTGGCCTTCGCGAAGTTGCCCAGCATTTAGGTCGAGCCACTCGCAGATGTATAACAGTCCTCAATACCCGCCATATTCATCAACTTCTTGGGCACCGGCGCCGACACAATGCCAGTACCTCTGGCGCAGGGATGAGACGCACCAAAACGGAACCACACTTTCCGGTCACCTTACGGGGAACGGTATGCGGTTTTCCTATTTTGTTACCCCAATAGCCTCTGCGGACGGGAATGACGGACAGTTTGGCGAGAATGATGGCGCCCCCGATGGCAGTGGCGACCACTTCACGCCCGCCCCACACGTGTCCGTTGTAGTCGCCGATCGCCACAAACGCCTTAAAACGGGTCCTCTGACCGCTCGGGTCTGCTTCTGCGCCGGCATTATCTTCAACACCTCGTCCTTCAGCTGCCGACCGATGAAGAAGTCGATTATCTCCAACTCCTCGATGGGCAGCGAAAAGCGGTAGATCTCCTCCAACGACTTGATCTTCCCGTCCTTCACAAGACGTCCCAATTTAGTCACAGGAATCCACTCCTTATCGCCATCTTTGCCGCTGCGTCCGCGACCTCTGCCTCCGCGGCCGCCTCGACCACCGCGTCCAAGGCCTCGACCTCTGGCGCCAAAACCTCCTCTGAATGCACCGCCTCTTTGAACAGCGGCTGGAGCGTTGTGTCCGCCATATTAGTCAGTGATGTGTGAGTAGTGATAAGTGAATGCTGTATATAGCGAGTGCGGCTCTATTGACCTAAAAACCAATTGACCTAAACTTAAATAACTTAATTACCAGTAGGTAAATATACCAGATGATCAGTGTAAAATGTTCCCCTTGACCTAACCTA